TGGTTGGCAGAACACTGGTGCCAGGAACACTGGTGTGAAGATGCCTCTGCTGGTCATCTGCGCAGACGCCCTCTGGGGCACACGCCTAGGAGTACAGTTACTGAGTTGTAAGCACCTGTCCAACTTTCGAGGTGCTGCTGAGCCCTCCCAGAGGCTGTGCCAGCTGGCACGCCCACCAGCAGTGCCAGAGCTCTGGTTATTTAGATGTTTTGAAAGAGTCTTACTCCGTTCCCCAGGCTGGAGTGCAGTGGCGCAATCTCGGCTCCCTGAGACCTCCGCTTCCTGGGTTCAAGCGATTCTTGTGCCTCAGCCTCCCGAGTAGCTAGAATTACAGGGGAGCGCCATCACGCCTGGCTAATTTTTGTATATTTAGTGGAGACGGGGCTTCACCATGTTAACCAGGCTTCTCTCGAACTTCTGACCTCAGGTGATCTGCTCACCTCGGCCTCCCAAACTGCTAGGATTATAGGCCTGAGCCACTGCACCTGGCCTTCTCTTCTTTTAAAAAAATTTAATGTCAACATTATACTAGCCTAGTTAGAGAATGTTCACTCTTTTTCTGTTCTCTAGAAAAATCTGTTTAAGAGTGGAATGATCCTTCCTTATATTTTAGGTAGAAACCTAATGTGTAAGACCACTAAAATCTGGTGTTTTCTTTATGGGAAGATTGTTTATTGCCTCATCTTCTTTAATGTTTTAATAAAGAACCATTTAGGGTTTTTCTCTCTTCTTTTGTCAGATTCGGTCATTTACATTTTTCTAATAATGTGTTCACTTACCTCGGTTTTCAAATGTACCGGAATAAACTGTTCACAATATTCTCCTTCACCTTATTCACGTTAATCTCTCCTGTACCTGCCGTCATGACCCTTTTCTCTGCCTTACATCATGTATTTCACCTTCTTATTTTTCTTTGATTAATCTTGCCAGAGGTGTGTCAATTTTTAAGTCTTTAAAGAACCAAGTTTAGACTTTCTCTCTAGTCTTTGGTTTCTACTTTCTTAATTTCTATTCTTAGACTTTTCTTCTACTTTATTGAGCTTATTCTGTTGTTCTTTTTCTAACTTTTAAAGTTAGATGCTAAACTCATTAATTTTTTACATTGTTTTCTTTTCCTAATATAAACATTAAGGTTGTGAATTTCTTTCCGAGTACTGCTTCAGTTGTTATCTCATAAGCTTTAATATATAGTATTTTCATTGTTTTTCTGTTGTTTATATTTTCTAATTTTCATCATTTCATCTTTTACCCATGACTTAGTCAGAAATTTCTTTCCTCAAAAGTGAGAAGGTACCGTTAGTGTTTCAGCCACACAGGCCCTGTGATCACTTTGCTTCTGTCCACACCGGCTCCCAGTGCACTTTCCCACCCAGCAGCAGCAGTCTCTCCTCCCTCTGTCTCTCTCCTCCTGCCTCCCCGCCTCTCTCTCCCTCTCTCTCTTTTTTTAGACATAGAGTTTTGCTCCGTTGCCCAGACTGGAGTGCAATGGTACAATCATAACTCAGGGCAGCCTCGAACTCCTGGGCTCAAGCGATGCTCCCACCTCAGCCTCCCAAAGTTCTGGGAGTACAGGCTTGAGCCAGCGTGCCCGGCCCACTTGGGTCTCTTGATGTGGGATTCCCACAGGCTGCCAGAACCTGCTTTGCAGGAGGAGCCCAGGCTGCACTCTCCTGCCCCTCACTGGGACAACTCTGATGTGGCATCCACCCCACCCTCAGAGTCCCCCTGAAGGAAGGAGCCCAAATTACATGGAATTGCTTGAAACTGGATCTCTTCCTTATCCAACTGCCGCCCTCCTCACCAACCATTCCTGGAAACACTTCCTAAAAAATCACATTTGGATCACAGGTTCTGATCCAAAGACAGGTAGCACCAGAGGTGGCTCCTTAGAAGCTGACTTGGAAGGATGAAGCCCTTGGGGAGTGGCTCACTGGCCAGATTCTCCTCTGCTGGTGGGTGGTAAGTGAGGTGACAGCAACTCCCGGTGTGCTGTAGCATTAAAGCTGCTGAAACCTTCATCTGGGGTAAATCTGTAAAGGGTTGAAAGGGGTGCAATAACGATGCTGCAAGACACCATTAGCATCCACAGGCTGTCAGGAATGGGCACTGCAAGGACGGTAGAGCTGGTGAACCATAGCTAAGTGTCCCCAGTTACTCCGGGGAAAAAAAAGTTATAAGTGTAAGTTGTCAATTAGCAACTCCAAGCATAACACAAATGCGGTCTGTGGCGGATTGTGCTGACCAGCCTGGGACTCGAGGGAGGACCAGGGCTCTGGAGAGGGCTCCTCCACAAGTCTCTCATGCTCCAACGTCAGCACCTGGAGAGGGAGGGCAGGCCGGACATGCAGAGCAGGAACACCAGTGTGGGCGTGCCCCCAACACAGAGTTCTCCGATGCCCCGGGACTGCCTGGGCCTGCAGGAGCGTCCCCGCCCTGCTGGAGGACCTCACTTTGTCTTGCCTGAACACCTGCAGGAGTCTCAGCTGAGGTGGATGCTTTTCCACAATGGTGCTCACTCTCCCCAAGATCCACCTCCCTTCCCACCACGCTGGCCACGAGACTCACAACTTGAGTTTTCACACAGCCTGACTGGGGAAGCGGTGGTCCTGCTGAGTGAAACCCAGGCTGCTCAGTGAAGGGCTGTGTGATGTGATGGGTATGTGTGGGAGGAGTGTGGGAGGACCATGGTGGGAGGGACTGGATGAGGATGGGTGGAAGACAGGCTGCATAAAAAACTTTTTTTTTTTTTTTTGAGACGGAGTCTCGCTCTGTCGCCCAGGCTGGAGTGCAGTGGCCGGATCTCAGCTCACTGCAAGCTCCGCCTCCCAGGTTCACGCCATTCTCCTGCCTCAGCCTCCCGAGTAGCTGGGACTACAGGCGCCCGCCACCTCGCCTGGCTAGTTTTTTGTATTTTTAGTAGAGACGGGGTTTCACCGTGTTAGCCAGGATGGTCTCGATCTCCTGACCTCGTGATCCGCCCGTCTCGGCCTCCCAAAGTGCTGGGATTACAGGCTTGAGCCACTGCGCCCGGCCTAAAAAACTATTTTTAATGTAGGGGAGCTTTCTCCCATGACTCAGGATCCAATGCCCTGGCAAAGGCACCTGAAGCAGGTGCTAACAGGCTGCGGGGATGACTCCCAGGAGCTTGGAAAACCTCATGGCCCACATTAAATGAGGTGGGGGGTGCCAGAACGGCCTTGGCAGATGCTGAGCACAGGACCAGAAGGCTCAGAGAGGTGGGCATGCTAGAAAGAACCTGTCATGTATGATCTAAGTGCCCATGAGCCAACCAGCTTCTCAGAGCATTTTGGGAGGAGGGCACTGGCATCATGCACAAGGTCGCTGGTGGTTATCTCCTGCAGGCCAGGGTTGATGGCAGGAGACACTGTCATGGAGCAGGGATTCTTTGGGGCGGAAGAGAAGGCTCCGGAGCTGCAGAGGCTCCATGGCAGCCCACAATCACACGAGGCTGGCTCCCTTCCACAGCTGGCTGCCTGGAACCACTACAGTGGGCGGCAAGGCCTCAATGGCAACCAAGAGCCCTGACCTGCAAAGGTCCACGGTGGCAGCTAATCAGCCATGACATTCCTAGGGCAGGACAGAGGGGCAGCGCCAACAAGGATGCTGCCTGGTGAGATGAACGTCCGTAAATATGGAACTCAAAGGAATCAAAGTAAGTGAGCAGAGGCCCCAGCCACCACAGTGGACAAACATACTCCCTCCCCGTCTCTCAACCAGTCAGTTTTCAGATCCAGGGTCCATAGCTTAGAGGAGAGACGGGGCCCCCTTGCAGAAGAATTCTGTAACACAAGAGGGAGTCTAGACAGCAGTCATTCATCTGCCCCTCCCCAAGGAGATCTAGCTCGTTTACTTGAGAAATTGTACACCGGAGAAAGAAGAATCCCTGGATGTTTCGAAGGCTGTGGGATACAAGGTCCAAGATAACACTGATGCCAAGGAACTAAAATGAGATTGTGGCTCCATGTCAGAGTGTGCGCAGGGGCCAGGACACCAGTGAATCCCTGGCCCAGGCCCATCTCTCAGTGGTCTTGTGTGCCCGGGCAAAGCTGGTGTTCATTTGCCTCGTTCTAACTGGCAGAACGCGCCACACTGGCCCCTTGACATGTGAATTCGACACAACAATAGGAAAGTCCTCAACACCGACACCCCCCAGCCAAAACAGTAAATTGTAACACTGCATCCAGTATGGAATGGAGAGGTTAGTGCCACCTTGAATAATTAAAAGATAAAGGGGTGGTTGGTCTACACCTCATTCCCATTTAATTCACCAGTATGGACCGTGCAAGAAAACTGGATCACAATGGATCACAGTGGACTACTCCCCAAATAACCCAAGCACGGTACCCAGTGTTGTGGGAGATCTGATATCTTTAAAGAACAGAACTACTCAGCCTCTGGGACTTGGCACACAGGTGCCAATCTGGTGAGCGCACTCTTCAGCAGTCACTGCTAGGCAGGGTCAGAGGCAGTTTGCATGCACAGCAGACATTCACGGTCTGACCCTACGTCACAACACGGTCCAAAGGGACTCTTAATCATTTAGAATTCTTATTTTTATTTTTTAGAGACAGGGACTCACTTTGTGGCCCAGGCTGGAGCGCAGTGATGCGATCATAGCTCACTGCAGCCTTGACTTCCTGGGCTCAGGTGATCCTCCCACCTCAGCCTCCTGAGTAGCTGGGACTACAGGTGTGTGTCACCATGCCTGGCTAATTTTTTAAATTTTTTGAAGAGACAGGGTCTCGCCATCTTGCTTAGGCTGGTCTCCAACTCCTAGACTCAAGTGATCTTCCTGCCTTGGCCTCCCAAAGCCCTGAGATCACAGGTGTGGGCCACTATGCCTGACCAAGACATTCTTCAGAACACCACACTGGTCCACAACATTGATGACATTGTATTACTTAGATCAGATGCCCTGACGTGATAAATCTTATAAGGATTCATGGACCTTCCATGTCAGTGAAGTTTTTAGGGGCCCAGTGGTCTGGGCTATGCCAGGACAAGGACTCCAAGGTAAGAGACAAGTTAGTGATTGCACCTCACACTTCTACTGCAGGTAGGCGGCTTTGCGTTCTGAAGATGGTATAAGCCACTCAGGAAATACGCTGTGACTCAAAACGCTGCCACGTCGGAGAGGTTTCAGAGCATGAGTGGGGTCTCTAACACACCCATGATGTGACAGCAATGGCCCTGCCACTTTGGCCACAAAACCCAGCAGCCCCCAGGGTCCTTGATGTGTATGTGGCAGGTAAGGACACGGGGTGAAGTCCTGGGAAAGCCTCCACAGATAAGTCAGTGCAGACACCTAGCATTTGGGAGCAGGCCACGCCATCTACAGAACGGAAGCATCACGAGAGGGCCCAACCTAGCTCCTGGCCCTGGTGGCAGCTGTGTGTCACCAAGAGACGTCACTGTCTATGACACCAAAGCATCTCCCCATAGTGGTGTGCTGTCAGACCACCACAGGCCCAGTGAACAAGGGAAGGGCTCCTGACCTCTGTGACCAAACCTAAGCATGTCTAGAGGACACAGCACCCAACAGAAGGGCTCCTGACCTCTGTGACCAAACCTAAGCATGTCTAGAGGACACAGCACCCAACATGTGGCCCAATCCCCCATGACATGCATCTCCATTGACCAATGACGTCCTCACCTCTACTCCTGCCATCACCATGACACGCACTTGCTCGACCATGACGCCCTCACCTACTCCCGCCATCACTTCATGACATGTACTCTCCATTGACCAATTGACGCTTTTCACTTACCCTGCCATCACCATGACATGCACCTCCATTGACCAACAATGACGCCCTCACCCTACTCCTGCCATCACCATGACACGCACCTCTGTCGGCTCATGACGCCCTCACCTCACTCCCGCCATCACCATGACATGTACTCCATTGACCAATGACGCCCTCTCCCACTTTCGCCATCACCATGACACGCACTTGTCTAGCTCATGACGCCCCTACCTCACTCCTGCCATCAACATGACACGACCTCTGTCGACCATGACGCCCCCACTCACTCCCGCCAATACCATGACACGCACCTCTGTCGACCATGACGCCCTCACTCACTCCCACATCACCATGACACGCACCTCTGTTTCCATCATGACGTCCTCACCTCACTCCCGCCATCACCATGACACGCACCTCTGTCGCCCACCATGACGTCTCACCTCTACTCCCGCCATCACCATGACACGCACCTCTGTTGACCATGACGTCCTCACCTCACTCCCGCCATCACCATGACACGACCTCTGTCGATCATGACGTGCCCTCACCTCACTCCCGCCATCACCATGACATGCACCTCCATTGACCAATGACGTCCTCACCTCACTCCTGCCATCACCATGACATGCACTTGTTGACCATGACGCCCTCACTCACTCCCGTCACATCACCATGACATGCACCTCTGTTGACCATGACGTCCTCACCTGCCCTACCCATCACTTCATAGGGATTCACTACAACTTAGGGGGAAACGCAGACCTGGCTTGTAGATGGGCTGCTTGGTGTACGGTGCAGGCCTCACTACAGCCTCACATGGGAACAGCCTGACAGACAGTGGTGGAGCAGAGCCCTGGGCAGGGTACCTGGTCAGCTCCGTGTGTCGTGGAAAACAAGCTGCCTGTGCTGAGGATAACAGGGTCCGAGGCAGGCACAAACAGCTGGTCAGGACCCTGGAGGGAACAAGGTCTAGGGGAGAGGCAGACAGACAGGCCTTGGGAACAGGCATGGGGTACCGGCCTTTGTTTTGTGAACCAATGCTCACCATGGGGCACTAAAAACCAAGCATTGGGATAAGTCGACCAACAGATATCGGCTAGCCTCTGTCCTCACCAGCCCCAGTGCCACACAGCAGACCTCTGGATAGGGTGGCCATCATGGCCAAGAGCCTCTCAGCAGATGATCCAGCCATGACCACTGACGATTATCTACCTGGGGTGAGCAGACAGGAACACTGGGCCTCCATTTGGTGCCATGCCTTGTGGCTGTCAACCAGCCACCTAGTGGTAAGCCGACTGTATCAGACCTCCTTCTCCTGGAAAGGGCAGTGATTTATCTCAACTGGGATCCACCCACATCCCAGGTGTGGGTTTGCCTTTCCTTGTGCAGCACTGTGGCAGCACTAGCATCTCAGGGCTGGTGTCAGAGACTTCCTAACACAGGATTTCATATAACATCAGCTCGGACCACACACAGGGGATGCATGTGAGCCAGGTGACCTCAGGGTCCACTGGACCATCTAACGCAACACCACTCAGGAGATGCTGCCCTGACCTTAAAGGCAGAGACAAAATGCCAGCTTGGTGAAACACTTCATGGAGTTGGGCTGCCATATTTCAAGAGGAACCAATGGCCAATCGATGGCACTGGGTGCCCAATCAGTAAAATGCACGGATCAAGGAAATGGTGAAAGGAGAAGTGGCCCCTCTCACTATCGCTCCAGAAACCCAGTAGGAACTTTGTGCTCATCTTCCCCAAATTTAGGTCTGGCAAATCTAGAAGCCCTGGTTCAAACAGGTGGAGAGGGTTCTACCACCCAACACAAAAAGCCATGGTGGCCACCTGGTCACTTGGGGCTGCTTGTGCCAGAAGGCCAGCAGGCATCACAAAGAGTGTCCATGCTGACCAGATCACCTGACCCTCATTATTGTGAAGGGCAGAGCTGCCACTGCATAGTTCTGGGAATCAGGGGCTTCACTGCGCCTTTCTCCATGCTCCTATGAACATGCTCCTAGGAGCAGTCTCCACTGTGACTGGATTACTACAGCAGCCAGGATTGGACAAAGGAATGGCAGCAAGTAGGGACTTGGGATGCACAGGGCTGAGGGTCTGGGTCACCCCACCAGGCCAGCAACCAGTGCAGCAGAAGGCTGGCCACAGGTCAGGGGCTCTAGAAAGGGTGGTGGGGGGAACGGGATGATGAACATCAGCTCTGCTTGGACCAGCACAGCAGAGGCAGCTCTGCTCTGTCTCCCAGACACCATGACCAGCACCATCCTGAAGAATGAGCACAGTGAACCCAATGTGAAGTGTGGGCAGAACAGGAAGGAGCCCTGGCACTCTGGCAGGTCCTCCCGATGGTGTCAGACATCCCTTCAGCTCTAACAGTTTGGGTGCAGAGGCTCCTTCACAGCACTCGTGGCTTACTCGGGGAGCCGAAAGCATCTGAGAACTGACACCCCAGGTGCAGCCCTCAGCCTAATGCCTTGCGGAGGGTGCAGAGGCAAACACATTGCAGTTCCCTTTCCAGCAGGGATAGCTCTGAGGTGTGACCTAGGCTGCTGCCAGAAGTCCCTTGGGAGATGACCCACACTGACCCCACCAGGACGGCTTGGGACGCAGCATTCTGGGCCTTCTCTTCCCACCCATTTCCCCACGCCCTCGGCTGGTTTCTACTGGGAACACCACTTAAGACATAACTTCCACATGAGTGCTCATTTCTGCATCTGCTTCTCGAAAATTCAACCTAAGACCAAACAAATGAGGTTTCTGCCATTTATCTCCAGTATAATGTGTTGTACTCAAAAAATGTTGCTTTATGATCAGATGCTGTGGCATTTGTTGAGACAAGCTGACATCCCAGCACTGGGCAATTTTAAGGCATAATCCACATAGGTTTGGTAAGAATGAGTATTTCCCCACATATAAAGAGAGAGAGAGAGAGAGAGAGATGGTGGGGGGCAATATTTTAAAATATAAATCCTTACGGGTTTCCGTTTATATATTTTCGATACCACCTTGTTAGATACACATTATACAGATACAAATGTAAGACTCACATCTTCTTGGTTAGTTGCTACCATGGAGCTCCAGGTAACTCTCAGGCCCAAAAGATCTTTGAGAACCACTTTCTCACGCAAGAAAGAATATCTGCTGAGGTAACATCCAATCCCTAAACTCCACCCCTGGAGCGATGCCTCCACATGTCCAGGGGGTCCATCCAGGGGGTCCTGGGGAACCCAGGAAGAGGCCAACACAGGGCCTGGAGATGCACTGAGGGGAGCAGCCTCTAGAAGGAAACCACCTGGGGACCCTGAAGGAGGGACAGAAATGCTACTTACCGCAATCTCTGTTACTAAAATATCAGTAATACTTCCCAACACAGTGACAAAGTCAAAGACATTCCAGGCATCTCTGAAATAGTTCTAGAGAAAAAGAAGAGCAGTTAGTGCCAGCGGCTGATGAGGGCTCTGTCGGCAAAGAGGTATAGGTGGTGGCCCCGATCAGGAAAGGGGTGAGGGTGACAGACACAGAGGACAGGACAGACGGGCCACCCCAGGGGGCACAGCACAAGGCCAGAGCTAAGCAGATGTCAAAGCCAGGGACACAGACACCTCTGGGCCTGGGCAGAGGCAGGACTAAGGGCCATGTGTCCAAAGAGGAAGAACCCAGCCCTGCTGGCCTCCCAGGACCTAGGCTGGGGGCAGAGCTTATGCAGCCGAGAGGGTCAGAACAGCCCCTTCCCCAGAGCCCCTGTAGTGTCACATACACTCTGGGTACTCAGAGAATTCCCAGCTCCAAATTGTGAGCCCCCAAAGGTCGCTCTACAGATGGCGAGCCAGAATGCAGGCTGTCAAAAGGCAAAGGGGGGACCAAAGCACGTACCAGCACCCCAAAGGCGATGATCTTCAGCACGCATTCCATGGAGAACATGGATGTGAACACGATGTTCAGGCACTTCAGCATCAGCTCGTACTCATAGGGTGCATCATAGAACTGCCCGGGGAAGACCTGCTATTGGCCATGGGTTTGGCAGCCCCAAGACACCCCATCTGGGACCACCATGACCAAGCAAGGGGGGCGGACAGAACTCCATGCCTGCCCAGGCCTGGGACACCCCTTCCTGCTCTCCACGAGTCCTCCCAGAACCTCCCCACTGTCCCAGCCCACAGACAATAAAGGGAAACAGGATTCCACAGGCATCCCGTGCTGGCCAGGATGCAAGGCCATTACTGCTTTGGCTCATGCCAGGAGGAAGAAGGTTGACTCCACTCAGCCTCAGGGTCAGATCCCAATCCCTAGCAGCGCCAGCTGCCCCCCGTGCTGAGCCCCACACACCTTCATCATCAGCACCACGGTGTTGAGGGCTATCATGGCCATGATGAAGTACTCAAAGGGTGGGGAGACCACAAATGTCCACGTCTTATACTGGAACGACTGCCTGTTTTGGGGCATGTACCGTGTCAGGGGTTTGGCGCTGATGGCGAAGTCAATGCAAGCCCTCTGTCAGGGGAGAAAGGAGCACAGAGACTCAAAAGCAGAAAACCTACCCTATGGCGTCTACTGCACCAGCCCGTCTCACCAGCCCTCACAGGGAGCCCTGATGAGAGAAGGCAAATTGAGGCAGCCCAGACCTTCTCCAAGCAGGCCTCAACCCACCAAATCTGGTCCCTCTGCAGGAGAAAGGAGGCCTTGCCCCTGTGTTGGCAGACAGTGGCAGCCAAAGCTGACCCGGCTGTGAGTGACTTGTGTGCAGGAGGAAAGCCTGATGGTGCTGCTCACGCTGTCCACTGCAAGACTCCACAGAGCATCCACCTACCTCGTTCTTCTCCAGGCTGCATTCAGACATCACCTTGTCCCCCTGCTCCTGGAAGGTGATGATGATCAAGGCCACAAAGATGTTGACAAAGAAGAAGGGAAAGACCACAAAGTAGACCACGTAGAAGATGGACAGCTCCATGCGGTACCCAGGGCTCGGCCCCTGCTCCTCATAGGTGGCATCCACGGAGTGTTTCAGCACCCTGGGCCAAGAGGACAGCATATGTCAGGGAAACCCCCAAAGGAGACAGCCCTAAGAACTCAAGACCTGCACCACAAGAATGGGTCTGCCCAGGGATGGAGGGAGGAAGGGAGGCCGAGCTCAGGGGCTGCCTGCCCCAGCTACAGAGAGCAGGATGAGCACTCACATGGGCCAGCCTTCTCCTGTGGACACCGTGAACAGCGTCAGCAGAGCCCAGAGCACATTGTCGTAGTGAAAGTCGTATTTCTTCCACTGCCTGGGCTGAGCTTCCACTTCCTCCTTCTCATAATCCAAATACTGACCCCTGGGAATAAGAACATGGGAGGTTAGAGGGCAAAGACAAAAGATCCAAATAAACCCACGTATCAACCGACACTGAAGAGAGTGTTGAAACCACTCCGTGCGGAAAGAATGGCTTCTCCAACAGACTGTGCTGGGACAACTGGATGTCCACATGAAGGAGGATGAATGTGACCCTGCTTCACTCCACAGACAAAAACTAACTCGTGATGGATTCAAGACCGAAGTGTAAGGAGCTGCAACTACAAAATGCTTAGAGGAAAACAGGGGCAAAACTTCATGACCTCAAATCTGGGAATGGATCCTTAGATGTGACACCAAAATCA